TTAGTCCTTCCATATCTAAACTATACCATCAATTCCTACACATAAACACTCAAACAAAAAAGTTCTGTAATTTTGTATGTTAACTTCTCAAACCCTAATATTTCATGCTGTATATTTTCATTTTTCAAGCTGGCTTAGGAAAAGGCCACTTGTGATCAGTGTAAAAAAAAATAAAAATCAAAAGGTCCCAAACTCTGTGTAGGAATCTGAAACCGGAACAGGATAGGCTCATTTTGGTTTAGGACTTTTCAGTATTTCTCACCTTACTTTACACCTGTCTTGAGAATATCTTTCTCTTGAACAAAACAATAGATCTGGATCAGTAGGAAGAAACTATTGCATTGTGGGACTCTGAGTTACAGCTACATGAACTCTTGTCTTAATATTTTCCCATCTCAGATCACATAGAAAATTAACCGAAGAGAAATGTGTACTCAGCCATGCTTAAGTTGGTTGGTTTTATCATAAAAAAATGGTCTTCCTATAATTTCTTAAATTTCCTGAAATTTGTGATTAATTAATTGTAAGTAATCTCTTAGAACAGCGGTTCTCAACCTGTGGGTCGCGACCCCATTTGGGGTCGATCGACCATTTCACGGGGGTCGCCAAACAACGCGATCCGCCATTTTTTTCTTCAGCTGGCACAGGGGGCGGCGCAGGGGGCGGCGCCGCGCATGTGTGCCGTGCAGGGGGCGGCACCACGCATGCGCGCCGCCTCCTTATGACCGGCGTCGCCGGTATAAAAAGATTGAGAACCACTGTCTTAGAAATACAAGGAAAATTCCTGTGTTGAAAACTCCTTCATATTTCCAAATAAGTGAGGAATTGTTACAGTTCAGCACAAATCTAAATCCATGCAGGAAAAGAAAGAAGGATCTCTTGTTTTATTGTTTGGATTTTGTGTATATGTTGTCATTCACAGTTCAGTGCCCTCCCTCTATAATGGGTAATACTTTTTTGCTCCAAAAATACTGAAGGACTCAGATTTGAAAGCAAGAGGAGGAGGAGAAGGAGGTAGCTTTTCTTTTTCTTTTTACCCCCCATTTTAACATGTTCTCACCAGCGTACTTCTCAGCAAGTGATGATGACAGCATGTTAAAATTGAATGGTGTGACTTCTCAGCACATTTCTGAATGAATCATCCTTCAATTTAAGTTAAATAGATGTTTGTCTGGAAGAGCTGCTACCACAATCTTGTTTATGATAGGGCCTGCGCTGTCTCCCCTGATGTGCAATGTGAGTCAGGCATGAATGTGAAAAATTTGAATTATCACCTTAAATGCTGATTTTTCTTTTTCTGTTCTTTAGTTGCTGGCCTCTTGAATGTTTTTTTTTTTAATTCCTTGAAGGAATAGAACATTTTCTATATTTAAATAGATCTGAAAGCAGTCTGCAACCATGTAACTGTATTTTATAATTTTATTTACTGCATAATCATCTACAGCAGGGGGGAAAAAACCCTTCAAAGCCCACACAATTGCTGCAGTACTAAAAAATGGGTTTCTAGGTAATCCTGCTCAGTGGTACTATAGCACAAAATGGGTTCTACTAATTTCCAATAAAACCGAAACAAATACAGTTTTGACAAGAACATCGTGGCAAAAAGTTCCAGTGTAAAAATGCCATTACCCTCCAGTGCTTTTGATTCTAGAAATTCTAGAAATTTTAGAATTCAAATTATCTCAAATCTGGGACCCAAAATTTTAAAGCACGGAGAAATCATTTTGTTTATTTACCTATTTTATTTGTTAAATTGTATTCTATCTTTCGGAACCGGAAAATTTCCCCAAGATAACTTACAACCCATTAAATACTGATTAATTAAATAAAAAATACAGGAAAACTATTATTAAAATACACTATATAAACAGAAGAGGTCTTAGCAGATGGTTATGTAGACCTTAGTCAGCTTTGATTAACTCAAAATCTAAGCACGGTCAACTGTAGTTAGTCCCTGAATAGTGGAATCACCTAGGAATTTAGGGGTTAGTGGCTAGATTGGAAAGTTTAAAAAACATACTGGGAGAAGGTAATGAAAAACCATTTATATAGCATTGCCAAGAAAAATATAAATACGCATATACATTTGAAATATTATTATTAAAGAACTGATAGAGACATTTTTAGAAGTTTACATTTTAACATTTGATCCAGTAGTCTCACATGAATATTTAATATAGTAGAAGCCATGGCAGGACAATGGCTGACAGAATATTTTTGGAAAATAAAGTGTTTTGAAAACTATAGTATGTGCTGAGTTTAACAGGTGACTGAACCTGTCAAATTGCTATCACATAGCATGCATTTCCCATGTCACCATTCAGACTGATTTTTCATATGATATCACTAGATGCATTTATGCATTATCTTGCTGTTTGTTTCCATAGAAACTGATGTAGGAGGGGGGAAAGGGTAGCAGGAAGGACAAAGGGGAATTATCAATTAAAGTTGCACAATAAATGTGGACCCTAAATTATTAGACATTTCCTGATAGTTTTTATACACAGTTATAGTTTGACTTCTAAAAGAAAAAAAGGAAGGAAGGAAGGAAGGAAGGAAGGAAGGAAGGAAGGAAGGAAGGAAGGAAGGAAGGAAGGAGCAATTTTTTATCTGAAGTATACCTAGAGGATTCCTGTGTGACCTTCAAAATAGATGCTCATATACTACTGTATCAAGATAGTTCTTGATTGTTAGAAACATTATTCCTAACTTGATGGATGAAAGCAGGTCAGAATGCAGCTCAGGGCTGATCAAAATCTAATAAGACCATAATCAAATTCTAGGCTGCAGGACTGTCAAATTCTACAAGCCTGAAGCAGCTGGTATAAAGATTTTGGAACCACTGAATATAATCTTTAAAACCGCCCAAAACTCTAGAAGTCTGGAGGTGCAAAAAATCCCAAAGTTCAATGGACAAAAGAAGAGAGGCTACAGATCAATATATTTAATGACTATATTGGGTAATAGATTGTCAAGCAATAATGACTATATTGGGTAATAGATTGTCAAGCAATATGTCAGCAAGCATTTAGAAAAGAACGCTGCAGTTTCACGGAACTAGCATAGGTTTTGTTAAGGATGACCTCACAGGTGGTTCTTGTTTTTTTCTCATGTAATCGAAATGGCTAAAGAAAGTATTCAGAAATTTCATGGTCTCTGCCCAGATGCTCTGATTTAAAACTAACCTTAATTAGCTGTTAACATATTCTAGATCTAGTTTCAGCCTTTAGTTTAGTTTAGATTTGTCACAAACACATTTTTTTATCACAGTATAACAGCCAAGGATTTTGTCGTGTGTGTATATGTACACATGTGCATGTGTGCACGCATGGGAAGATGGCGAGGAAAAATGGTTTAAGTCATCTACAAGTACTATAAATGTCATAACCATGTTAAGACGGGGCAAAAAAACCCATTGGCTTTCATAAGCTGGAAAAAATATCACTCTGGCAAGGAATACAGATATTCTGTATTTAGAACTGCAGTATTGTTAGGAGTTATTATAAAGTACTATTGCAAAAGAATCTTCATGCCCAGTTGTGAAATCCCATATATATAAAACAAACTTATTAAAAAAACTGGGATTAAGATGATGGATACATTGGTTTGATGTCTAAATTATGCAAATGGCTCTGCAATGAGATTTGTTTATAATTCATTACACCACTATTAAAATGTATGCTTCCGCTCATTGTGTCATACCTCATAATGTTACTCTGAAGCGGTGTTTCTCAACCTTGGCAACTTTAAAATATGTGTATTTCGTCTCCCAGAATTCTAGAGCCAGCATGGGTGTTCTGAGTATTGAAGTCCAGACATCTTCAAGTTACTAAAATTGAGAAACACTGCTGTAGAATTTCACACATCCAGCCATACTTTATGCCACTGCAATACTTTTAAACTTTTAAACAATGTAGTGACAAAATAGTTTTTGTTTGCTGTCATTGAATCACCATATTTTGTTTCAAATCAAGATATTTCTGAAGGGATTCTTTAAATCAGTTGTCCACCTTGTCAACTTTAGGATTCTCCATCCTGGGGAAGTCCAGACATCTTAAATTTGCCAAGATTAAGAAACACTTCTCTAAATTAAAACTGGTGGAGTTGTACTTGAAGCATTATCAGTACTATATATTAAGATGGCTGTGACTATTTCTAGGGTTGTGCAAATGCTCTTTAATGAGTTGCCAGTGGATGTTTTCATTTGTGTTCTCATATATGTCAAAAAATATTTTTATAATCAAATCTGAAACTTTGCAAATCCTTAATTGGTGAATACCATCACTGAGAAATTACTTTGTTAAAAAATTGCCTTGCTTTTGGGTTCCCAAAGAAGTAAATCATTATTTTTAGTTTTAAAAGCATTTGCTATTTTCTCTGTTGTCTTTTTCATTGATTTTTAGATTTAAGTTAGTGATATCCTCAAAGCAGAAACTCTTTCCTGGCTTTAGTAGTCAGACACTTGGACATGTAAACTAATATAGCCGTGGGCTTAACATCACATCACATTTTGGAGTAATTCAAAAACACCATTCATCTCCTGTTTATGATTGTGAGAAGAAGCCACAGTTCATTATACATGAACTTGGGGAACAATAACTTCACATTCCAGAAAAAAATAGTATTTGAAATCATAGCATTAGCAATTATGGGAATCTATTATAGTGGAAATATCATCCTAGGTCAAAGCAGTGGGAAGTGTGAAATGGTGGCTAATGGTGATGGTCAGAGCTGGGCCTTTACACAATGTGACTGAAGTATAATATTTAATATAATTGAACCTGATCATTTGTGACTTGAGTGAGGACATTTTGTTGACTTGTTTGATGATCCCTTTGTTTGTTTTCTTGGCTGTCTACAGTATTTTCAGGAGTTTTATTCAAAACAGCAACAAACCACATGATTTTCTTGATTTGTTAGGGATATAAGTTGTTATTACAAAAGAATCTGGATTACAAACTATATATTAAAAGGATTTACTTTTTCTGATATTTTGACAGGGACCCTTTCGCATGACTCCTGATTTTGCTGCTTCTCCTGCAGTTGGGTATATTCCTCTAAGCCAGAAACCTGAAGCAGTGGTACATGCTATGAAGGTATGTATATATATTTGTGAATGCAATAAGCCATATTTTCTGGCACAAAGGATAGTTTCTTCAAAAGACATTGATATCCTTTGCCTGATTTATGCCACTTAGTGTCCTCTGGATTGTTGGAACCTGAAGGACATCAGTATGGAAGAAACTGCTGAAATGTAGAGTGGGGAAATGTAACAGTATTCCATCTCTTTAAAGTTTGACCCTGAAATGTTCTGTCATTCGTATTATAAATAACGGCAATACTGTGCAATAGGATATGACAGCAAAAGAAGCAAAAGTGCTATTACAGAGTTTTGTATTTCTAACAAATGAGATATAAGGAAAGATTTTTGAAGTGGTAATAAAACTTGGCAGACTTTCTCAAATTGGATAACCAGCAGCTGTTAATTAAACCATCTCAATTTGGTTGGTTCATTCATTCTCCAAGAGCAGTCACTAATCGGTCGGTTGCCAGTGTGTCATTTCTGACTCTGAGCTTTGACTGTCCACACAGCTGAGTATATGGAAGATATATGGAGGCCGAATGAATTAATGGCACAGTCTGCACCCACATGGATCAACACTTAATTATTTTCTTTTCATTAAAGATCTAGTTTTATTTGTCAATAAATCCCTCTTGTTTTCCTTGTATCCTGCCTCATCAAAAAAGGAAAGCAACAGATTGAATTAGTTTAAGCCATGCAAACAACGATCTTAATTCAGTTAAGTTAGTGAGTTATAGAGTTTTAAAGTAGGTTACACTAAGTAAGCGAATGACCCAGTTTTGTAATTGAGGATTTAAAAATAAGCAGGAAAAAGGAAATACAGTACTAGTCTAATTCTAAGCAATCAACATGCAATTATATCATGGAAAAATGACATGTACTTTTGGAAAGTATATTTTACACACTTCGTTATGTGGATTTGAATCAAAATTGATTGCAATGTTATCCCCATTTTGAAATCCAAGAAAAATCATACTAGATTTTGCAACCAGAATGTATGTATTTATCATAGAATTTATATCTTGCCCAATTTAATAAATTCTGGGGTACTCACATAAAATTATAAAAACAAAGTATCCTATGATCAATTCAATAACAAAACTAAAAATGTTTTTAAAAGAGCTCTTTAAACTCCAAATGTTCCCCAGAGGAGCATGATCTTCAGTCAAACATGTGAATGGGGAACTATCTAAATGTCAGATGATAACTAGTAGGTGTTACCAACAAAAATTCCTGGCTCTGATTTCCTACCTGTCTAATATCCCAAAGAAAAGGAATCTGTAGCATCCTCTCCTGGTCTGATTACACAAGATGATGTAGTGCTATTGTGGAAGATACTTGTTATGGCAAGAAAGTCTAGTTTGCCTCTGTATATATAATATTTTTAGGTCTTTCACTTTTTCGAAAGCAAAGCATGTTTTCCATTGTCTTGTAGGAGGTTCTCTACTTTCTACTTCCAATATATGTTATAGTATTCATCTTCAAGACATATTCCAAGGCCTGGAAGAAATTGTGGGTGATTCTGTGAACTAATGCTTTTTAGAGAAATATTTCTGATCATTGATAAGTAAATATAAGCAATATATTTACAATGACAAGTTAGAACAGGGATGTCAAACTGCCGGCCCATGGGCTGGTTTCATCATAACAAAGCCGCGCCCACCCCATTGCTGGCAATGCAAAAAGAGTTGTGATACGTCATGACACATCACGTGATGAGTTTGACACCCATGAGTTAGAATAACAAAATGGGAATTTTATCAGAAATGGACCCTCAGCAGAGCCTGGGTCTTAGGACAGGACTGTCAACCTACTAGACATAAAAGTTTTATCTTCCATCATTCTCTGAGCTGAAGAAGACCAAGGGGACTTTTTTTTTTTGCTTGGTATCATTTTACTTTAGCACATTTCTTTTCCATATCTTTATTATTTGTGTGGGCATTTAGTTATTTTATTTATATAGCCACTGTCTCAGGTAGGCACCTCCTAAAATAAAATCCACAAGAGAGAGAAACAAATAGAGCATAAGTATTAAAGTAAGTACAAGTATTAAGAAGTAGAAATTCACATTTTCAGTAGATCCTGGGATACTATACCTCAGGGCATAGGAAGATTAGCAAAGTAGCCTTTTCTTGAATACACATGTTACTGCTACTATCATTTACAAAATCATACTAAATGTCCTCCTAGCCTGCCATGCTTTTTCTAATAGTGATTGATTAAATCACTATTAGAAAAAGTAGAACACAAGGAAAAACTATATTGTACCTTACTATTTGTCTTCAACATCTAGTAAATAGGTGTTTAATAGAAAGGTTTTAACTTAGACAAAAAGACAACTGGAGCTGAATTATACAAGATGGAATTTGAGACACTGCAGTATGTACAAACGATGAACATGTGGTTGCTAAAATGTATAAATTTTATTGAAATTTGAAGTGGAAGAATTTAAAGAATACATGATAAAATGGGCCAAGAAGTTCAGTCATATTATATATATAGACCAATAGAAGAAGATATAGCAGAAAGGACTGATTTTTACTTTATGTTATAACTTAAAAGAGAATTTTTACAAAATGATGTATTGTTGGTGCATGACATGAGAAAAATTATCAAGTATTTATAAAGACACTTAAATTTATGTTGGAAATGTGAAAAATATGAAGGGTCATTTTATCACACATGGTAGGTTTGTAAAAAAAGCTAAAAGATTCTAGGTCCAAATGCATATAGTGATATAAAGAATTGTAAAGATTAACATTCAGCTGAAAAAAGATTTTTTTGGGTTGTGAGTTATGGACAATATGCACAAATATGGAAATACCTACAAGAGAGGCATGGTTAGTGAAAATGACAGAATTTGCAGAAATGGTTGCTTGTAATCCTAAGTATGTTTGACTGGGAACCCTTTATGGCTTTTTTTATTGAAAATGGAAAAAATGATTTATGGATTTGATGATTAGAAAGGGTAAATATGGCATAAAGGGAATGATGATGTAACCCTCAAGATGAAAAATAGATGATAAATGTATTTGTAACTGCTATAAAGAAGATCAGAAGACGTTTCTTTTTCCTTTTCCTCTTCTTTACATATATTTTTCTTTACTCTTTTTCTCAAATTTGTATAATTTTTACTATTTTGTAAAATTCTTCAATAAAATTAATTTTGAAACTCTATTGAATGGGCTTATAATACAGTAATAGGATTGGTATAACAAAAATCTTAGAAACGTGCTCCTTAAATGTAGTACCCAGCTTGTTTCCGCTGGCAAGAACAAGCACTTGGCAGGTTTTCTTTCATCGGACATCCATCTCATGCAATCCCGTTTGTATATATTACTATGGGAACTTAAGGAATAATCAGACTTCAGGAGAAATTGATGAATATTATATCTCTCCTTTCCTTCATGGCAGTATAGTTAGTATCTAAGCCAGTCAAAGAGTATGAGGTTGTAAAAGTTTCCATTCAAAAGTGATTAGAATCCTCTCTGAGAAAATGATTTGTGTGTGAAAAGATAGAAAACTCCTTTTTTCTCCCAAGCTTAGAACTATCTACATTGGCCTTTTCCAAACTTCTTTCCAGATGTTTTGAAGCTAACTGAAAACTGTGGATATTCTGATCCCAATACAAATGAGTTGCCAGTTGAAGAAGGCTGTGCTGTACTGACTGATGGCAGCTCTCCTGGGTTCACAAATGTTTCCTGAGAAAAGAATGTAATGAATGTATGGGTTTTACTACCAAGCCTTAGCTTTTCCATGAATGGGCCCCACACTTAGTATTTTCCAAATCTTTATATAGCGATGAAGAACTTTATTCATTTTAAATAATTTTCAGCAGGAGCAATATAGGAACTGATCTCCCTAATTCATTATCACCGCATCTTGAAATCTTGTGTGTTGTATTGTTTTTTTCAGTGTTGGGAGATACATAATGTCTTAATTGTATCAGTAGAATGCAGTAAAATGTGCTTGATGTGTACATGTTTATCTAATGATAAATATCAATTATATACTTTCCTGGATCTCCTACCTTGCCAATCATTAATTTAGAACTACATGGCATGTAGATGAAAGACTTTCATAATATTTTATTGGAGCATTGTAATCTTTTCAGTCTTTACCCCTTCGCTTTCTCTCTCTCTCTCTCTCTCTCTCTCTCTGTATGTTCTGAGATTTTGCTCTGTTTAGGCTGTAATGAATCATAATGTGACATATTTTATAATTTCATCTCCATTGTGCTTGTCTGTAGGTCCTTGAAGTCCATGAGAATTTGGACAGGCAGATACAAGAAAACTATGAAGAAGACCTGAGTGAAAAGGAGAAAGCAATTGTTCGTGAAATGTGCAATGTAATGAATCCATTTTCACAGTCTTTCATGTGTTAGCTATTCACTTCTAGTTGTGGTGTTGATGTTGTTCAATATCTTGTAGGATCTGTTCTGTCTGTGCAAACTTATTTAATTGTTGTCTTCACAATCTGAAGAAAAAACAGGTTACAAAGCAAGTGACAATGAAGTCCTAGGTATATCTAATCAAGGAATCCCTGCAAAAAACACATTTTCAGGGTCTTCCAGAAAAAGGTGGAGGCCAATCTTCTCTCTGAGGGAAAGATGTTCCAAAAGGAGGGGACCATCACGGAGAAGGTCTTTTTATTCATCCTACAAAATGTATCTTCCTAACAGATGAGACTCTTAGCACATCTTGCCTTGCTGCTCTAGTGGGCTGGGTAATTGGGGAGAGGCAGTCCTTCGGATAACTGGGGGCCGAGCAATGTAGGGCTTTCAAGGTGATAACCCAGTATTTTGAATTGCATCTGGAAACATAAGTAACCAAAGCAGCTCTTATAAAAGAAGTGATACATGCTCAAATCTTGATTTGTGTAGAACTGTGCTGTATTTTGAATCAACTAAGGCTTCCAGATAATTTTCAAGAGCTGCCCTATGTAAAGTGTGTTGCAGTAGTCCAAACAGGAGGTTGTTAGGTCATGAGTGACTGTGAGGAGCTCCAGGAATTGATTAAATGGCACACAACTTGCAATTGTGCAAGGCCCTCCTGGCCTTGACTGCCACTTGTCCCTCAAGCAAGAGTTACGAGTCCAGAAGAACCCCCAGATTACACAATGGGTCTGTCTGGGTCAATGCAACCCTATCCATGACCAACAATAGTCATTCTCCAAGAACCAAGTTGCCCTGAAACCCAAAGCCACACCATCTTGCCAGGGTTCAGTTTTAGTCTGTTGCTCCTTATCTAAATCTCAAGAGTTTTCAGGTGCTGCAAAAGGGCAGTTGCAGCAACCCTTAACAAAAATGTACAACTATCATTAGTATATTGATGATATCTCACTCCATGGTGATGGATGATCTCATCCAGCAATTTCATGTAGATGTTAAACAGGAGCTGAGAAAGCACCTATACCTGTGGAAAACTAGGGGCCGAGAATCGGATCTCTCCTTCCCAATCAAAAACTGACTGAAAACAGCCTCGGAGTAAGGAAGCATAAACAAATAATCAGAAAAAGAAAAAGGTGAAAGATGAAAGAGAGTACAGTAGAAAGAGAGTAAAAATCAGTAGCATAAGAAAAGAAGAGAATTTAAAGACATAGAGGAAGAAACATCAATGCTTATTTAGCCCTGCTCTTGTACGACCCTGTCCAAACCATCTGTCTCCATCTCCCAAAAAATGTGTTAAGGTACTAAACAAAAACTATGAAACAAGACCATGATACTAATCACACAAAGTACCAGTAAACAGGTACTGTAACAAATTCTGAGAGAATACACTTTGAAGCAGAGAAAAAGTCTCCTGCTGTATTCTTTGGGGGTGGAGTGCAGTCTCCACTTTTCATTACTTTCTGTAAAAGTAATGGCTTACACCCATGTAGACTGGGTAACAGTTTCAAAATGGGACAAGCCCTGATTCATCCAATGTTTGCCCATACTGTTTTGTCATTTTTTCTGTGCTTCTGCTTTGTTTCCTAGCACCCAAATAGGTAGCATCAGTAGACATTGTGGTGTTGATGTGAATGTGGATATGGATGGGTGCTTTGTTTGGCTATTCTAATTAATGTTTGGGAGAGCCTATATCACACATCTCACTCTGTAAAACCGGGGATGAAGAGAAAAGACAACAGGCCAACTCCTTGTCTCTTTGGACTTTCCCCACATTTCTGCAATGTACCTTCCTCCCATTCTTGAGACAGGAGGAAGGCCCATCCTTTGGGAAATTGCTGTACCTCAGAATCAAGACTGGCAAGTAGTGGTGGGATTCAAATATGTAAACAACCAGTTCTCTGTGTGAATGCCGCCTCTGGAAGTCCATTCTGGGCCTGGGCAACAAAAAATTAGCTACCGGTTCTGCTGAAGTGGTGCGAACCAGCTGAATCCCATCACTGCTGGCAAGGTAACTGTCCCTTACAATGATGGGGGTAGAGATTCTTGCCAAAGCCAGGAAGACAGATACATTTTAGTTGCCAGGCAAAGCTGTTTTCTTTAACAGCCAGAACAGCAGCAGCCATCGATGCAGGAGACTTGTGGCCTCTTCTCTACACAACATGAATTGTTAGAACAGAGGTGGTTTTCTTCTCTTTTGCAATGATAAGTACCCCATTCCTAGCTTTCAACTGCTTCAACAGCAGAGTGGCCTTAAGATGAAGGCTCCCTTGTGAAGAAATGCCATTTGAAAATGATAAATAGCCCATTTTGGAGCCAGAAGCGTGTATAGATGAACCTAAATGCAGTGTGTATATATATATAGAGAGAATCCACTCATACCCTGCTTATTTTAGACTATCTATACAAGGAGATATGCATAGGTTTGATACTTTTACTGAAAGGGTGCATACCTCAGTGTTCCCATCCAGAGTGGATGAGGGTGTGTGGGTGTTTTACAAGTAGTCTTCAACTTACAATCATTTGTTTAGCAACCATTCAAAGTTACAACAGTGCTGAAAAGAGCGACTTATAACCGGTCTTCACACTTTCAACCATTGCAGCCTCCTTGTGGTCTCATGATCATGATTTGGGCAATTAGAAACTGTTGTGCATTATAATGGTTTAGTGCACTGTGGTTGTGTGATCGCCCTTTACAAATTTCCCAGCTGGCAGGTCAATGGGGAAGTCAGCAAAGAAGGTAGCAAGTTGCCAGTTTCATGTCTTGCTTAATGACCAAATGGCAAAAAAGCTGGTCAGTGACATTTGCCTCACTTAATGACTGTAAAGTTTAACAATAAATTTTCTGGTCTCTATTGTGGTTGTATTCCAAGGAGTACTTTTATGGCAAGAGTCTTCAAACTTGGCCCTTTTATGACTTGTGGACTTCAACGGCCAGAATTCCTCAGCTAGCATGCCTGGCTGAGGAATTCTGGGAGATGAAGTCCACAAATCATAAAAGGGCCAAGTTTGAAGACTCCTGTTCTATGGGATAAAATTTTGCTTGTAAAATGTAAAAGTGGGTCTTTTTCTATTCAGAAAAGGGCAAAGAAGTGTGTTTTAAAATACAAATACACCTTTTTTTAAGTGATGGGTATAATTTCAGACCGAACCCCCCCCCCCCAATGCAACTTGTTCCTAGGTGAAGTTCGTAGGATTGTACAATCTGCTCAGTACTGTGACTCTTGATTTGGAAATAAGTCCCATTGTGTCCAACCCTGAGGAAGTTTGGGTAAGATTTAATGTATAAGTTATTTTGATTGTACCCATTCTCATTAACTACTGTATTGTGAGTGTGCTTTTGAGAAAATTCAAATGGCGTAAGCACACAATGCTGGTGATCACCCATAGAAACCATTATTCTTGAGAACCATCTTGTCCTACTGGAATTAAAGAAAACAAGACACTGTTGATAGGGAAATGAATAATACTTGTAGGATGTAAATACTGTAACTTTGTAGATTGTCAGTATCAAGGCAAAGAACCACGAGCTAAAACAATGCACACAAAACCATGCTTTTCTTTACATATGCTGTGTAAAAAATGCTGTTTATTCCTTGCCTCAGAGAGCAAAATATATTCAAAGACAGTCCCCCAAAAGTTCTTTGGGAGCCCTCCGTTAAACCAATGTAGATTTCAAGAGCAGTGCACTGTATTAGCTCTTGCAAGTATTGTATTTAATCCCTTAAGGATATGAAGAACTGCAGAATACTTTACTTACACAACCACCAAAACTATCATTTCAAATGGATGGAATGTGCCACACCTTAACAAGTTTCCTTTGCTCAACTTCTTTAAAACAAGTATATTATTTGAAAGTTCTAATGACAAACTATTTGGCAGGAATGCTGCTGGCATTTCCTTGTTTATTGTTGTCTTTTGGAATTGATTTAGAGAGCATAGGAATATTTTCTAGCCAGGTGTGTCTGGAGCCTAGGGATGTTTAAAATTCCCATATGTGAGCTTTGAACCACATGGCTCCCAACCTGTGTTTCAGGACAACTGCTGGTTTATGAGGATACTGTACAAACACCCAAATAAGATAATCCAAATGCAAAATTTAAGGGAGGAGTACAAAAATAATCATGCATGCATACCATGGAAATGGTTTCCTAACTACTAGCTTCTGGGAGGACCTCCAAAGCTTTTGATGATACTGTACTTGCCCTGTTTTAGGTTGAACACATGCTTGGAGTTGGATTGTGAACTGTTTTACTTTCAAGTTTGCAAATGTTTACAGGCTTTGGCAGGCAGAGCCCTGGAATATGCAAATGCTTGCACACACTAGTAATGCTAAATAGGAAAGTTTTATCTGTGACAGTTCAAGGCAGTACATGTTAAATGTAGCCCAAGAGCAGTCCAAAAGTTAGTGCATCAAAGAAAGGTAGTCAGCCAAGCCTGATTGGGAGTTTCAGATAGCAATGGGATCCAGAGACATGAAAGCTTGGTGCTGAGAATGGAATGTTTCCTAATTGAACAGGCGGTTGCTGGCTGTTGCATTGGCATACCCTGATGCGGATGAGGCTCAGTTAAAGCCCTTACCTCTTTTGCCTTTCAAGGAACCAACCAAAGTTAAGGGGGGTTACTTCTTGAGGAGTCAGGATTTGCAACACATTGTTGCATTGGATGGTTGCTCAGAATGTCAGATTTGTCCTGCACCTATTCTGGATGAGTAAGTCTCAGTGCTTGATTGCTTCCCAGTTCCCAAGAATGGCATTTATACAGACATTTGTTCTTTTGAGCCTTCCAACTTGAAGGAGATCTTGACAGTAGTACTCTGCATAATAAAAAATAGTTGGAAGCTGTTGCCTGGTCAGGACAGTTAATAGTAATACAGCCTCCAAAAAGATCATGTTTTTCCTGTCCAGAATCAAAACTTTCTCCTGAGGAGGAATTGCTACACAGGTTTTTCAAACTACCACCACAAAGCCCTGGAGTCAGCCCTAAAACTGCTCTTCTTTCTTTTAACCATTCAGGGATTTATAATGCAAGAGAACTAAATATCAGAGATACATGTAATGTTTTGCCACCAATTTTTTGGTATTAATAATTGATGTGGAATATTGTTTTTGCAATTTTGCTAGAAGCTGTCTTAACACTAAATTCAATTTAGGTTAATTTACTGATGTAGTGCCAGATCAAATTTGCCTAATTTAGTCCCTAATTTACTGAGAAACATCTAATGCAGTGTTTCTCAACCTTGACAATTTTAAGGCATATGGACTTCAACTCCCAGAATTCCACAGCCAGCATTGCTGGCTGTGGAATTCTGGGAGTTGAAGTCCACATGCCTTAAAATTGTCAAGGTTGAGAAACACTGATCTAATGCTAGGACATTTTAACAAGATCAGCAAAGAATTAGATCAACTTCAAGGGATAAAATGAAGGACTGAAGATTTTGAAACTATAAGAATTGTTATCATGGGAGAATACTGTTTTTAAACTAAAAGGAGGGAGTATAAAATAAATCAAGATTATTAAAGTAAAATAAATGAATATGAAGTTGTTTTATTTGATCAAGGTTAATGTAGATATGTTATCTCTGGTAACCTTTGGTGAATTTTGCTGATTAGGATTGAACAACAAGGCTTTAAAGGTTTATAGATAAGAGATGAGATATGGGAAAATAATTTATTGTTTTTAACCGAGATTAAATTACACTGAAAATTGTTTATAGTTGTTATGAAGGGAGAAGTCATTTTTTTATATATTTCTTTTTTTCTCTTTACTATATTTTTTTCTTTTCTGCACTTTCTATTTTAATTTTTTTAGTTTGTACAATATTAGTTCTTTTTTAATTGTAATGTTCAATAAAATTACTATTTAAAAAAACAAAAAAACTGAAGACTAAAATTATGTTAGGACCTGAATGCCTCCTAGTGTAACAACAAGGTATGACCAGAACTCAACAGCTGCAGGCTTTCCGGCAGTTCTATTTTTTGGAAAACTTGATTCCTGTTTACAAATTGTACTTTTTTTTTTCTTGTTTGTAGGTTGTCTGGCGAAAACTAGGTGATGCAGCAAGCTCCAAACCATCAATCAGGCAACATCTTTCAGGAAACCAGTTCAAGGGTCCTTTATAAGCACCTCAAGCTGCAAGACTGGAAGTGAAAAGAATCTGAGGCAATGGAACTTCCTTGCTTCTGGCTGCCAGCATTATCTTTTCCTCCCATTTCCTTTAACTGTGTCCATAGTGTAAATAAGGCAGCTAAAGGCCTAGCTTGCGGGCTGTCCTGATCCAGAATGATACATGGGTTAATGACTACCCTCTTGTGGCCAATGTCTGTCATTTGTATTGTAATGAAATCCCCACTTTCCTGTATGGTCATGTATACATACTTGACTCCCAATGATTTCTAGGTAGAATATCAGAAAAGAACTCTGAGCAGTTCCACTGCCTTATTTTAGCCTACTCATGGAATTGCATGGCAGTAGTGGCTGCCCAAAGCAGTCTTCCCCAATTTGGTGGCAACTTCTACCAATCCCGGCATGCTGACTAGAAATTATTTGAGTTGCAAATGTAGGGCACTTGTCTGAGAAAGGCTTCTCTGTTGTATGATTTTAGAAAATACCATGGAATTTACCAGGACCTAAATTAGTCATTGTTCAAGTCTGTTGAGAGAAGTTTTCTCAGAGATTTGTAGGGTTAGATTTTATTTTTGAAGGACAAATTTGAGGTGCAAACAACTTTTATCAGGCTATGCTTTGAATATTCTAGCAATACATTCTTGATTGTCAAAAATCTGACAAACCATAATGTATAATTGCTAGGCTGTCTTTAACTTGGTGGGTCACCAGTCTTTACTTTGGGTGATACTGTAGTAATAGCAGATCTCAGACCTGAGCCATTTGCTGAGCATCATTTGTCCTACACCTTAATGTTCTCGCCGCTTCTTTGCTGCTTCTGCCTGCTTATCCCTCACTGGAGGAAGAGTAGAAAGAAATGAGCATCTCTGCATATTTCATCCTTCCTTTCTTTCTGGGAAAGGATGCAGATAGGCTCCACAGAAATAAGTAAATGAGCAGTGAAGAGGAAAAAGAGAGGTGAACTCATGAGGAGTGTTTGATTTAAGAGCTGGCCAAAATCTATACCTGGCATTGACAATTTTTCTACCCAATTACTAGAAGCACATAAGCCTTGTCAATACCAATTACAAATTTTGGTCTGTTATTAGATAAGATACTCCCTGAGAAGGCAGTAGGCAGTGCATCACTTGACTGAACAAGTGCTCTGCAAATCTTCACATTGTTGCTAAAGATGTACAAGTCCTTCATTCCTTTGCATTAACCTCCAGTATATATGAGAAAGGACAATTCGCTGTGGCCAACTCACTGCAGGACAAGAGTTACATTAATATCAAATAAATGGTAGAATAGAATCATTAAAGAAAGGATGCAAAAGGAGGGACAAAATGAAATCTGAACGACAAAAATTAAAACAATTTATTTATTTTAAATGATTAATTTGAATTGATAAATTGCCCTGTGGCAAGTTGTCCCATGGTGAGTTGGCTGTGATGAGGTGGCCATGGTGAATTGACTGTGGCAAGTCGTCCCATTCCAGCTGTGATTTTGCTTATTTTGACCTTAACTCCACATTAGAAAAATATAACATGTAAACAGTTCCTGCAATGTCTCTTTTAACCTCTTATTAATATATTAAATTTAAAAAATCATGGTCCCTTATTAAAATAATATTGATCTGGTGTTTTAGAAATAAGTGGGAGAATACAGAACTAGTTACAGTATTTGGAAAAGATATAGAATAAGAATCAGTTAAGTTACATCAGGAAGTGATTGTCATGAGAATTGCTGCTGGTGCTGCTGCTGCTAATCAACCAAATCAATCTTCTCCAATTGTAAATTTCCTAAAACCATATAACGCAACACCTAACTGGCCACTGGATCCCAGTTGTGTAACATCATTTGACAAGAAGAAATCTGTAAATTAAATGCTGCTTGTGCAGAAATGTGAAATTTGAATATGCTACAACTTCACCTTTGGCAATCTGGTTTCATAGATCTTTGATTATTGTTCATTTACTTGGATGTATTTTTAATGAATGCTCTTTATTTGGAATATTTATTAAGAACTCACCTAGTCCACTACTCAAGTTTCAGGATCTCTCTCAAGTACCTTCTTTCAGAAAGACTATATTCTTTTCTTCTTGATCTCTTTCTGCCTGTGTCAATCCTTCAAGGTAGATAAGACTAGGAAACCAGAACTTTGAATGCTAGTACTAATTGTATTATAAGGTTACAGTAACCAAGTCTTGCAAGGCTGAATAGATTTTCCTCTTCCCTCCTTTATCTTCGTGAGAACTAGGAAGGCTTCTGTTTGAGGTGACTTCTCAAATTACAGATTCTGCCCAGATTCACATTTATTTCATCTGAGCATTATTTTGGTTGTGCATCTTCCTCCTGTCCAAGTTTATTCCTTCTCATTACAGCCTGCCTTTTTGTTTTTGCAAGTCCATCCTATAGCTATACCAGCCACTTTGAGAGTTTTTTGTAATCTCAACCATTCAGTACTTTAAGGAGCAAATAATGAACTTCCTCTTTCTTATTTTGCCTCATTATAGGCAAAGGTATCAGTGAAAGCCTCCCTGTTCCTTAAGTAATTTATAACACAAACTTACAATATGAACAACTCAAGTTTTCAAGGATCTATAATTAATGTGAATATTATCAGAGAATCTGGGTAGGCTATTAAAAGAAGATTTCAGAAGATCAGGAGTGGTCCAAATAACCAATAGCTTGGTTTACAGCATACAAATTATTATTTGTCTTCTAAAATGCAATGGAATAAAGTGGTCAAATGCTTGGGAACAAGGGTGATTCTATGCCCTAGTTGTGGTCCCATGCATGTGCCTACTAATGCTTATATACACAGTTCCTTGCTCTAAGCTCATTGCTGCAGAAAACACTGGTAAACAAAGTTAATGTATAAAATTTATCGGCTCTAGGTTCTTTTTCCCAGCAAGGGCATTCGGTAGGTTACTGCACTTAATTCATTTTAAGAAATTCATACATTACAACACTCACATATTTTTCATTTTCCATGTATAACTAAATGAAGTTAGGACATAAATGTGCAAAACATCCTATATTTTGATTTAGCTGAACTAAAAACAATTGAATTTCTAACATTTGAAAAAAAATATTCCCTATAGTGGCCATTCAAGTGTTCCCACTGCTGCTGATGGAGCATGTTTTTTTTTTTGCAAAAATAAGTCTATCAGAAATCAAACTGAGTGTATGCATCATGTACAACCAATCTGGTAATTTTATTATTGGAACACTTTGCTGACAACTGTTGGCATTTTGTTAAGTTATAAGAAGGATTTTTCATGCATTTATTATAAGTGAACAAAAATTGTAAGTGCTATTATTTAGTTGGCTATCAGTCTCTCTTCTGTTCTATATCCTTTGAGATATAGAGTTCATTCCAGTATTTTAAGATTTATATTGGTTTGATTGATATGTTTGTGGAATCAGGTTAATGATGGTTGCAAAAGGCCTCTAAAACAACACAGTATTTTTAAGTCAAGAGGAAAATTCATGTTCTGAAACAAAAGTTATATTTGCTTATTGAATAAACTGGCTTCACCCATGTGAAGCAATAAATCATGATTTATATATCTCAGTAGTTGGGTTCATAATTCATATTATACTATGCCAAAATCAAGATTTGGTCTAAATGCATATGTGATTGGTGCCTGCCTGGGAGTCTGTCTTGGGAACTTCATATATAGTATGCTGCTTCTGAGTTCCGTAGAGGAATGATGTAAGGTGAAAAAGATAGTAGACATTCTCTTAGGTGCTGGAGTTTTTTATTCTGTTCCTATTGCCATTGTACATGTTTTGAACGGCTTCCAATATGACTATGAGGTGCAGGTACAATCCACATGAGGAAATAATAATAAATAATACTCAATAGGTTGGTAAAATGCCAGATCCAGTCTAAACATCTGGTTGACTATAAGACTAATTATAATAACAATGATTAGTGGCTTCATGTACTTGAGTATATTACAGGCAAAACAGCTCAATCTGTTATTTTGGTGGACTTATGCCAATTAACTGGGGAACCTAAAAGCTGAAGAAAAAAAATCTGAATTTTAATTTATTTCAAAAGCACGTTCAGATGCTTTAAGCATAACAGAGAAATCAAAACCAAGGTAAAGCATAGAGTGACTCAACATGCCAAAATAAAATGAAAAATTATTCAGTATTTAGTAAATATATTAAAGTGACAATTACATGTTTGTGGAACCAAACCCAAACAAATAAGATGAATTGCAAAGTCCTCTAGAATTGTAACTCCACGATAGTATTAAGTGAAATTTTTGTAGATGACAATGCAAAGTACTTCCAAATATATGCAAATTACAAATTGTACACTACAGATGCAGTGCTGTGTGTATTTTTTAATTGCTATTTTATATTTAGCTTGAAATAAGCTAAAATTGTTCTCTTGGACAATGGTTTACTTTACACTATAACTTCCTAACCTACTGTACATCTTCCAGATCAATTCCCAGGGAAAACAAATGTCTTAGAGAAGGCTGTTTTATAGTGCATGAGTGATATGCTAAACATGAGTAATTTTAAAAGGAAAAAAATGCACTCTGAATAATGATGTAGAAGGAAATGTAGGCTGAAATACAATGCTGTAGTAATATTCATTTTCCCACCCCATTTAATAATGTTCATTAACTACCTGCTTCATAAAGTTTTTTATTCAGTCTATATCAACTTCAAAACAAAATTCCTGTTGTTTGATTCTTCCCCTTCCTATTGCTCTATTTTTAAGCAATTGGTTGCTTTTCCTGGGGAAAAAACATACTGAAATTGGATAAAATTCAGGTGCACTTTGCCCTTTTTGGTAAAAGACTATAATCTTGTTTAAAAGGCAAATGTTTACTCAAAAGATAGCAATTAAAAATAAACAATGTTTTAAAGTGACCTTTTACCTTTTTAGAAACTGGAATAGAGAAAAAAGTACTGATTTTGTTTTTCAAACAAAGAGCATGACTGTAAAGTGATAAAATTGTATATTTTTCATAATGTGGGGAAAGAGTCTATTTGTGCTGCTTTTGGAAATAAGTATGAAATTATGATTTCTGTTAAACCTGTGATCTTAACAACCCTGCCATATTTTCTATATATGATTGGAAAAAAGTAAATTAGCACCTGTGCTCATGTATAGTATATAAGCAATGTCTTTAGATTTTAGCACACATTTATATCTTTTACTGAAGCACTGCTTTTGTGGCAGGGAGGGTGAAATTTTAAAGACTTTTTAAGTGTGTAAAACCTTCATTTGAAATATTTTAGTAAAAATTAAGGGTTTGTGGTAGTGTATGCAGTCCATTGAAGATAATAAAATACATTCTTTGTAAGGGAGCTGTAACATGATTGTATTTTGGGGAAGTTGAAAAATATTAAAATACTTAGAAATCAACATAAAATTACAATTTTAGTTAAATCTGTGATTCTTCATTCATTATACTGCATATTTTAACATTAAGCTAAACATTAGATGGAGAAATGTGGACCATCCTCCCAAGTTCTGTTGGATCAATATTCTTTTCAATCATATAATATGTAATGCTAAATACGTTAACTCATATCTCTACACATCGTGGTTAATACTGTCAGGTAAATATGCATGTAAGAGCAGCATGGGGCAAAAGCAGATGCAAAAGGACTAGAATTTGAATGTAGAAATTGTTTGGAGAAAACATGTATTACCAAGCGTGGTACCTCATTTAGAGGGGGAAGTTGGCATAGGAAATAAGGGAAAGCAACACTGAAAAGCAGTAAGAAAATTTCAGCTTTCAGAAACAAGTTTATTTGGATACATTTCAACACAGCTTTTCCAAGAATCAGAAACAACGAAAATGTAAATCATTGTATGCCATTAGAGTTTTTTTTTACATTTTGAAAATATATATATATACAGAAATTTTCAAATTAAGCCTGAACATTCATTCCAAAATAACAATGGCAGAAAGTGAGATTGTAGATATGTATCCACACATATACACAGAGAGGCATAAAATAAATTGGTACTGCAACTTAGAGCAAAGTTTTGCTGGAACGTTATGTAATAAAATCATAAAGAGGTTTTTCCCCCCCCTTTCATCTGGAATAACTTTAATCCTGATATTCAAGTAGGCATATACTTTTCTATTTTTCTTCTCCTTACCAATACAACTCAGCCAATGTGGCCTTCAAAATATGTTATTACTGCAAAGTAATCCACCACAATTAACAAAACTCTTAAATTTTAGTTAGCTTTGTAATATTTAAATTGTATTGTTTTCTGCTGATCTAACTTAACCAAACCAATATCATTGCTCTCTATATTTCCAAACAGAAGCCTCTATATCCTTATCTGATTATAATATTGTCCACCTCGCCCAAGACAAAAAAGATGCTATGAACAACTGCTATCTCATCCAAGTTGCCCGGCCAAGTCCTCCAACAGGTGGCATACCAGGAGGTGGTATTGGAGGTGGTACAGGTGGCTGTCCACCAGGGGGCACTGTGGGAGGGGGATAGTTTGCAGGTGGCATGCCAAGTCCTGGAGGGGGATGAGGTGGGACTGCATGAGACGGAGGTAACCGAGGAGGTGGGAAATTTGGGTTATAAGTAGGTGGCGGAGGATATCCCGGAGTAGGAGGAGGAATGGTAGGTGGAGGGAATGATGTTGGTGGAGGAGGAGGGACAGGAGGAGGAGGATTGGGAGGATAAACATGATGATATGGCAAATGAGTTGGAGGTCCATAAGTGGGTGGTAAAGCTCCATAAGTTGGTGCTTCTGTTTTCATAATTGATTGGAGACTCTGATACCCTTCTCCTGACATGTATGAATTAGTAGTGGACATACCGGTTATATAGCTGGAAGGCGGGGGTGGGGGTGGGGGACGATGAGGCATAGGTGGTGGCTGATGTACAGGAGCTGGATGAGATGGTGGAGCAATCTGGACCTTGGTTATGTCTACAGAATCTACTGCAGTAGCTTGATCAGTTCCTATGGAAACTGTAGTTGTCAATGGAGGTTTATGTTCTGAAAAACAGTAGAAAATATGTACATTATTTTACCTATCTATAGAGTCAAATGGTATTAAAACAATTAAAGTCTTCGTATGAAATACCTACAACTGGTGAAGCATCAGAAAACTAACAAAAGATTCTGAAGCCAAATTTTTGCTTTGATCCCTTGCAGTTTTTGAGGAGAAAAAAAAAAAACTGCCAACATAGGACATTACATTAACAAAGAAAATAGCCCATAATTAGAAAAGGAATCCCAAACTAGTAAAAGATACGTTTAGCTTTTCTCTTACACTCCTCAGTATTCAGGGGGAAAGTTCCATGCCAGTGAACAGTCCCCATCAGTTGGGCTGAAGAATACATTTGGAATTCTATGAAGATGTTCTTGAAAAATGGTTGTGATGGGGGAAGGGCGAATAACTAATTGTAAAGCATTGATTACTAATATGTTGTCTGCCAGTTCCTATGGCTCTGCCTGTTTGCAAGACACTTCCATATTTTCTTTCTTTTGTCCTCTGGTCAGGTGGCCACATTTCCAAACAAAACTTTGAACTATAGCAGCAAAAAAAATTTTCTAAAAAAAGCTTAAGTGTCATTCTATAGCATTCTTTGAGGTAAAAATGATACTGAATAACTGGTGCCTTACTTTACAGTATATCAATTTTCCCTGTCATAAAATTAAAACTCTGTGACAATTTTTTAAAAGTCAGGGAATATGTTGGGTGCAAAAGGAGGTGTCAAAATGGATCATTGGAGATCTTGAATGTATCTGGATATTTTAATTTACACAAACATTTAACAGCCAAACTTTAAATATGTTGAAACGACTGTCACAGAAAGTCTAGAAAAATAATAAATGTTGTCATTTCACTTATTCCTTAACTAATTTATCTAAAAATTCTGGCAATTTGCTAATACCAAGTTTATTAAAAATTTAACAGATAAGATAAAGTTTATCACTAAGACCAACCACTTTGCAATGGTACATGCACATGATGGGATTTAAAGAACAGATTTTTCAAGATTTGGCTTTTACACAATATCTTACTTTAGCTATTTTTAATATTTAAAGGAAGTATTTGTGACATCATGCAAAATCATTCAGTAGTGCTTGCTATCTGGTAAAAGTTTCTGATCATGGTATACAGAATAATTGTAGAATTTATCGAAGAAATACAAACAAGTTTTATCTCAGTTGCACAATTTCCTAATTCCAGTAATTAATGAACATATATAGAAAGCAGTAAAATATAGCAGGTAGCTATATACATAATTTATAACTATTTTGCAGAATCAATATTTGTATTGAAAGGATATATTACTTTTAAGAAACAGAATTATGCCTTTCCTTATTATTTTTTAGCAAAATATAGTCTGAAAACAAAATTTGCTATCAATAGTCCTTTCAGGCACTATTCAGCTCAGAAAATATTAAGGCTATATTAGTACCATGGGCAAAAATATTTTCCCACATAAAGGAGAAGAAGATTCTGCTCTAAGCTCAAATGCTGCAATGCTTCTTAACATCCTATATTAATTCTCAGAAGTCAACATGAAACCAAGGCAATAGGTGGAGCTTCCTATTTCTAAATTTTATTTCCAAATTTTATTTCCAGCAGATGTACTGGATTCAGCTGAGTTTAGGCTGACAACTCAGGATTATTGATAAGCATGTAATTATAATTTTCAGAAAATTACACAACACACAAATCTTTAGTTTTCTATTAAACATAGTGTTTTCTATGTCACAGAAGAACTTACCAGGTGGTGGATGCACAGATGGAACTGGTGGATGAGTAGTTTCAATTTTAGCAATTTTAGGAGGGACCTCTGAAAACAAAACAAGAATTATATGTTACATTTTACTTAACAATTAAAAAAAATAGCAAAAAAGTTTTTTAGAAATAATGAAATTAATAATTTAATTATAGAGTTTAAGGATAATAGTACTTGAGAGCAGACATGCATAGCAATGTACTGTAAATATGTACCTTTTTTAATTATACAAAAAAAGTCTATTTTACCTGCAGGTTTGGTTTCGTCCTTTGGCGATACAGCCTGCTAAGAAAAAAACACAAATCAGTAGTACTATTCAAATCACAACAGCAGTATTAAAAGCACTGAAAACAAATCCACTCTGAGCCACATCTGGGTTGCAAATATTGTAAGTCAGGGGAAGAACCTTATCTACTCTTGCATTCAAGAACTGACACTGAATATTGGGATCTAAATTCTTGAAATAAACAATATAATTAGAAGCAAATATTATCATCGTTTTTATACTGGTAACAACTGCTAAAGACTTCAGCCTTTCAGTGTTTCAGGTTCCAGGCACGTTGTATCATTTGCGCTCCCCATTTTCCAATGACATCATATTTCTTGGATGAATGTGTCCCTTGGCGTTTTCTAGATCCATCCTGAGATAAGAAATTACTTAGCCCTGTACTCACATCCATTCCAATTCATACTTTCTTAGGCTGAAGAAAAAAAATGTTTTTTTCCACATTCAGCATCTTTTTTAGTAGTGCTTTATAAGCAATAAATCTGAGTCATCAAATTTCAGAACTCTTTGTATTGCAGTATAGAAACCCCTTGACAAATATAGATAATAAGAATAAATCCATCACATTTTGTAACACAAAGCATTCTTTCTGTGTTTCTTACCATAGGCCGCTTTGTCTGCCTCGGAGGACTTGACTGGGGAGAGGGTTTTTTGGGTTGCTGAATTTGTGGTGGCTGTTGCTGCTGTTGCTGCTGCTGTTGTTGCTGCTGCTGCTGCTGCGTCCCTCCCTGCTGGGAGTCTTTGGACTGCTGGGGTTGAGACTGCTCTGAACTCTGAGAAGGCTGCGACTGCTGGGCTGGAGGCACTTGTGGTGTAGGCTGGAGGGAAGGAGGCTGCTGCAGCTGATGGGGAGTATGGTGAGGCATCTGTTGTTTCCCCTGGGAGTACAGATCCAGAATCTGATGACAGATATCTAGGGAAGGGGGGGGGGAAGAATTCCAGAAGTTACACATTTTAACCATCGGCCAACTGCATTCTTGAAAAATTGCAAAGTTATACCATATTTATTCAATCTTAACAGTTTTTACCAAATCTACAATGCTTAATATTAGTGCATTTTCTTTCTTTTTTTTGTATAGATTTTATTAGTTTTTATAGGGTTAGAAAGAAGGTGGGGTCGGGGTTGGGATTTGGGTTAGGATTAGGGTTGGGGTTTTTCCAAATAACATTCTCAATATTTAGCAAACAGCATAATGTCTGGGTTCATGTGTTTAATAAACAATGATAATAGTTAATTAACATAAATATGTTAATTAATCACTCAACAGCCTTCTTCTTGCTAATATATATTCAAAATTACATATCACATTCCTTTCTCTCTAACTCGTTTTTCTAGCCATTGATAAAAATTATCCCATGTTCTAAACTACATTGAGTCGTCTTTCTCTTTTATCTTTAAAGTCAATCTATCCATTTCTGCACGCTCTAGAATTTTCTTAATTAGTACTTCAGCTGGTAATTTTTCATTTTTCCAATGCTGGGCAAATACAATTCTTGCTGCCGTTAGTATGCGTAGTATTAAGTATCTGCAATCTTTCTCATAATTAGCTCCTATTATTCTTAACAAAAATAATTCTGGTTTAAAGTCTATTTGTTTTTTAGTCATTTTCTCTAACCATAAATGTATTTTAACCCAAAATCTTTTTGCTTTAGGGCATATCCACCAGATATGATAATAAGTACCTGGTCTTTGTTTGCATTTCCAACAGTTGTTTGAAGTATTTTTAAACATTTTTGCTAATCTCACTGGTGTCATATGCCATCTGTAAAACATTTTATGTAAGTTTTCTTTATATGTCACTGCTTTAGTTAATTTAATATTTCTTTCCCATAACTTTTGCCAATCTTCTAATTCTATATTATATCCAAAGTTCTTTGCCCATGTTATCATTGTTCCTTTTATTTGTTCTTCCTCCATCTTTAATAGAAATCTATAGTTTCTTAATCAACTTTTCATCTGTTTTTAGCAGTATCTGATCAAATTCTGTCTGTTCTTTATAAAATCCCATTGTTTTAACATCTTTTTCATATCTCGTTTGAATCTGCAGATATGGCCACCATGCTAGATCAATACCTTGTTCTTGTAAATCTTGTCTGTCTTTCAATTTTTCTTCATTGTCCAAAATATCTTTATAAGTCACAACTTTATTATAATTAATTAAATTTGGGTAAGCAAAAGCTTCCATTGTTGAAAGCTATGCAGGTTTCTTAATATAATTTTTTTCTTTTATTTTTTCCCATTCTGAAAGAAGTGCATTCCTTATAAAATGGTTTTGAAAGTATCTATGTATTTTATTCTTCCATACCACAGAAAGGCATGCCAACCAATTTGTAAGTCATGCCCCTCTAGGTACAATAGTCTTTTGTCTCTAAGCATTATCCATTCTTTAAGCCATGTTAAAATAGTTGCTTGGTAGTATAACCTCCAGTCCAGCAGTCCAAATCCTCCACTTTCTTTCTCTTCTTGTAGCATTTTCACTTCAATTCTAGCTTTTTTTTCCATGCCAGATAAATTTCAATATTATTGTATTCAGTTCATTAAAAAGGCTTTCCCCAGCCTTACAAGAATCGTTTGGAATAAAAAGAGTATTTTTGGTAAGATATTCATTTTCACTGTTGCTATTCTCCCCAACATTGAAAGTTGGAAATTTTTCCACTTTTCCAAATCCAATTTTGTTTTAGCAGTCTTACATTGTCATCTTCTTTTATTATTACACATCTTGCTATTAGATAAATTCCCAAATATTTAACTTTAACTATTTGAAGATTTTTTTTGTTAGTTGATTTTTTTTGTTTTTCTGTTAGATTCTTTGTTAGCACTTTAGTCTTTTCTGTTTATTGTCAACCCTGCCACTTCTCCAAATTTTTCTATTTTCTCCAGAAGTTTGGTGCTTGTTTCTAATGGATCGTCCAATATGAAAACCAAATCATCTGCAAATACTTGTAGTTTATATTTTTCATCTTTTATCTCCAGTCCTTTAATTTCTATATCTTGTCTAATGTTTCTATTCAGTACTTCCAATGTTAGTATAAATAGTAATGGAGATAATGGGCATCCCTGTCTTTTTAATATTGAAGTTTACTGTAAGATCCCCATTTACAATTATTTTGGCTGTTTGTTTACAATAAATTGTTTTGATTAGTTATAAAGTTTTTTCCAAAGTCCATTTCTGCAAATTACTGAAACATAAATTGCCAGTTTACATTGTCAAATGCTTTCTGTGTATCAAGGAATATTAAAGCCCTGTTTCCCTGAATGAATTTCATAGTACTCTAACACATCAAGAATCATTCTTAAATTATTTTTTATCTGTCTTTTAGGTAGGAAACCATTTTGGTCTGTATATATAAATTCGATCAAAAATTTCTTTATAGTCTTTCTGCCATTATTGAGGCGAAGATTTTGTAATCTACATTTAATAGTGATATTGGTCTATCATTTTTTATTTGTGTTAAATCAGAGTCTTCTTTAGGTATTAAAGTAATATTGGCTTCAGTCCATGTATTTGGTATTTTAGCCTCCAGGAGAATTTCATTACACAGTTCTTTCAAGATTGGACTTAATACATCTTGTAGTGATTTATAAAACTCTGCAAATAAGCCATCTGGGCCAGAAGTCTTATCCTTTTTTTGCCTTTTTATAGCCTCTATAATCTCCATCATTGATATTTTTCCATTTAATATGTTTCGAATATTCTCTGGAATTTTTGGTAAGTGCTTTTTTTAAGTACTGCTGTATTTTTTCTTTTGGAATTTCCTCTGCCTTATAAAGTATCTCATAATAATCTTTAATAATTTTGTTAATTGTATCATTTTGAAACTGTAATTCACCTTTTGGATCTTGCAGCTTGTTTATCAATTTTTTTCTCTTGTTCTTTTTTCAGTCTATATGCTAACCATCTTCCTGGCTTGTTAGCATTTTCAAAGAAGTTCTGTTTAGCCCTTTTAATCTGTTGAGCAATTATTTCTATCTCGGCTAAATTTAATTTATGTTTTATTATTTCCATTTGTTTCTTAAATATTTTCTTTTGTGGATCTATTTGTAATTCTGATTCTAACTTTCTGAATTCTTCCTTCAACTTTAACTGTTGTTGTTTCTTTTCTTTATTCTTTTTAGTGATATAAGTTATAGCCAACCCTCTGAAATATGCTTTAGCCGTATCCCACACATTTTGAAGCGATGTTTCTTCTTTCTTGTTTATTTTGAAGAAAAAAATCCATTTCCTTTGTCGCTAGTTGTAAAAATTCTTTTTCTTTCAATATAGATTTATTCAAGGACCATCTTAATTTTTTCTTAGTTCCTCTCCAAGTCATCTTTATTGGGTTATGATCTGCCCAAACATTAGTTTCTATCTCAATTTCTTGTATCATCGTATTAAGTTCCAAAGATGTCCATATCATATCAATTCTAGACCATGATTTATGTCTATTTGAGTAAAATGTATATCGTAATTTCTTTGGATTTTTTTCTCTGCATATATCTTTGATACAGAGTTCTTCTGTCATTTTTAAAAACGCTTTAGGTAATATATTTCCTCCTTTTCTCCCTTGTTTGGTGCTTTTGTAGTCCAAAGTTCCATCTGTTATTGCATTAAAGTCTCCCATTATACAAATATTTTGATAGTTTAAATCTAATATTTTTTTACATAGTTTTTGGTAAAATTGTTCTTGTTTATCATTTGGTGCATATATTGCTACCATCAGTATCTGGTTTTGACCCATCATTATTTCCGCCATTAATATTCTCCCCTCTTCATACGTGTAGATTTGTTTGGGGTTCATCGTTTCTTTAATGTATAAGCTATTCCTCTTTTCTTTTGAAGTGCTAATGCAAAGTGAAGTTTACCAATTTTCGGTTGTTCTAACAACTTATAATGTTGTCTCTTAATGTGTGTTTCTTGAAGACAAATTATATCCATTTTTAATTTTTGTAATCGTGTAAAGATTTTTCTCTTTTTTGAAGAATTTAGTCCATTTATATTCATTGACAAAATCCCTCTCTCCTCTATCTCTTTCAGTTATATCTAGGTCTTAATCTTCTAGTTGATCTTATCTGTCTCTGATCTCTTGGTCTTGCTCCTTCTGTTTATGTGTTTTTAATTTCTTCCTCTTCTCTTGGTTTGACTGCTCCTTCTACTGCCATTTCTTCCTTTTTTTTGTTTCTCTTTGTACCGGATTCAGGGTCATCTCTTTCCAAAAATGCTCTATGGTTGTCGAAGAATTCCATTGCTTTAAGTGGCGTGTCCAGTCTATATCTTTTCGTATCCCAGTAAATTAAAATCCCTTCTGGAATCAGCCATCTGAAATTCACTCCTTTTTTAATTAATTTCTTAGTTAGTAACTGGTATTCTCTTCGGGATTCTCTTATTCTCCTAGGAATTTGTTTGAGGACTATAATTTCTTTTTCTTTGTATTTCAAAGGTTCGTCTCTTACTCTTATTAGTGCATTTTCTTAGCTGTGCTGCGCTTTCTCTTGCTCTCTCCCTCTCTTAATAGATATATTAATTATAAATTACTGACTTTATTAATATCTTGACTTCAATACATATAAGGGGTGAGAAAGGACCCTCAGTTTTGGCCTTGGCTTCATTTCTAACACTGATACAAATAATTTTATGAATAATTTTACATAAATACTTGATGGAAGTAAACTAACTTTTCTTCATGCAGTTTCAAAACAAGAATATAAACAACACTTTATATTATAGTCAGAAAAAACTGCAATTTATAAGATGCAAACAATAAAAACTGTTAGAAAAACAAAAAGTATTAGGTCGAAGATATTTCAGGTACCTTCCAGGACATCAACAGGTACATCTTGTACAAATTGTTCCCACCATCTTCTGTACATGGGCTTTGAGGTCCACTCTTGAATTTCAAATTTGCACAAGCGACCAGCTAGATACATAACTGCAACTGCTATAATTTCAGGTTCCCATTGCAGAGAGAGTGTAGTACACAAACTTCAAAAAAGAAACACACACAATACTATATCAGGCAGGAGAACACAATTTTTCAACAGACATTTGCATAAAAGTACAGATGAGTAGTAAAAACTAAAAATGCCTGAAATGACCAAAAACATAGGTATTACTAACCAAAGCAATCAAACATATAAAATTGTACGAGGTAAACATCAGTTTCACATTCAACAGCAACACAAAGTATGTAAAGAATTTCAGAAAAAACTGTGCTATGCTGAATATGGAATTTATTGTTTTAGATGTTTTAACCTGTGAGACGAGTTGGGCTAAGAGTGTGACTGACTGCAAGTATAGGAGGACTTCAATTCTGAGATCATATCCAGAACCAAAGATGGAAATTCTCTGCATCTAGATGATCCCCAAACCCAAACTCATTCAGACTTGTTAGGAATGTGTCTGAACCTTTTCTTCCCCAACTAAACCTCTACAGACTCCAGACTTGGTAGAGGTTAGAATGTAGTATTACAGGCAAATTCTGCCCACAGCCTGGACTTTGATCCTGACAGGGCTCAAGATTGATTCAGCTTTCCATCCTTTCAAGTTCAGTAAAATGAAGACTCAGATTGTTGGGGGCACTGTAAACCACCCAGAGAGTGCTGTAAAACACTATGGGGTGGTATGTACAGTAGGGCTAAGTACTATTGCTATTGTAAGAGGTCTTTGTTCTTAAAGCTACATTGGAGAAAGCACTTCAGTGCTTCCCAAAACCATGTATAAACAAGTTCCATTCTCGCTTAATTTGTGGAATCTTCAGTTGTTGCATGAGAGCATGGCCCTTCCACGTGACTTCCGGAGGCCGTGCAAATACACCCCATTCTCACATGCCTCCACAACCTCCAAAAATCATGTGACAGCATGCCCAATTCTCCCAAGTTTATGTGAGAACACAGCCCTTTTGTGGAACTTTCAGAGGCCATACAAGAGCACACCCTCTTCTCATGGAGAATACAAGAACACTGCACTGGAATCGGGTGTGTTTTCAAGAATAGTTGTTGTTGGTTGGTGTGTCATCCAAAATTTAGCATGCCATTTTTGAAATATGTGTGATAAATTCATCATCGATGTCATAGCTGATGAACCTGTTCAAGATGTTTGAAATGCTCTGCGACAGGCTATCTGTGCCTCTATTGGCACATATATATTAGTAAGGACTTCAGACGTAAATACAATGAATTGAAGATAGCAGTTGATGGAACTAGATCCAAAGGTGATTAAAAAAAACCCCATTATTTCTGATGCACTTTTTTCACTTTCTGTTGTCCTTTCATCTCTTTCTTTCTTTGTAGAGAAGGAGCAGATAGCTATTTCCAGAGACTGGAATTTGTGAAAAGGGCTGCATGAAATTAACACATTCCAAAGCACACAACTATTTGTGATTAAGGTACAATTGGGTTCACTAAATTATTTTTAAATACTCAGGAAAATAATGTCCGGAATTTGCAACAGAATGAACAAAATGCTTATAACATATGATTGAAGATGCAGGAGGGGTGTTTTACCTGTCATTTACAAAAGTCCATGCCATTTGAACCAGTTTTTGAATTTTATTTTTATCACCTATTAGGAAAAGACAAAAAGAATGGCTAGGTTAAGCCAATAAAAAGCCATACCAACAGAATATTATCAGTATTATTCAGAACCTATGTTGTTTGTCAAGGTTCAATAAACATTCTTAATAAAGGAGTGTGATGCTTGACAATGCTGACATTGTAAACCACCTGGAGTGCTGTAAAAGCACTATGGCTATTGCTATTTCTATTGCTAAGGCATGCCTTTTCCCAATTTTCAAATTGGAGAGATGGGTGAAAATTGAGCAATTATATGGCCAACTTTCCCTAGCTCTGTATGCTGGAAGTCTGGGGGCTATTTGGTGTCTATGTCATTAGACATGATCATATTCAAACCATTTCTTATCCCTGTCTTTGCTGTTCTGAAGGGAAAAGTAACCAGAGACAAATGCTTTCTTAGGATACCATCCCACTTGGAAATTTTGGAGAACATAGAAAACATATCAGACTGCTTTCTAATATGTATATAGACAACACAGCCCAATGGAGAACGCTCTCTTCTCCCAAATTAAAAGTAAAAGAGGAAGGGTTTGTTACAGGCTCACCAGACTTCAGAATAAAGCAAGAAAAATAAGTTTATGTGGTGATCCTGCTATAAGAACTATAAACAAATATCCATCAAGATGGCAATCATGGACATAGGTATAGATAGTTCTTGACATGACCACAATTGGGCTGGAATTTTAGGTGTAAAAGGCACTGTAGTTGCTAAGCATGAGGCCACTGTGACTGCTCAACAACTACAACCATTGCTCTCCCAGTTGCAGTTGTTAAGTAGATGGAGCAAAAGAGCCCCTGTTGAAAGAGGGCAGACAGCTCTCCTCCATGTGTGCTAGAGAAATGAAGGTCAGATGCCAAAGAACTGAATTTTGTTTGGATCACCATAGGCCTTTTCCTCCTCTCTGTGTGCAGAAGAGAACAACTGCACTGGGTCAGAGAAAAGAAGCTCAGATCTTTGGAGTTCTCCTCCCCTCCATGCGCTAGTCTTTGTGCCCTTTAGAAATATCACATTTTCTGGGTAGAAAGCTAGCAAACACAATGTTTCTGAATGATAGAAAGGCTGGAAAAAAGCATGGATTTTTGGATACAAGTTTCTTTTCTCCAGCTCAGTGCCAGAGTTCCCTTCTGTGCAAATGAGGGAGGGGGAGATATTTCAGCACTGGCTGGAGAAAAAAAATATCTTGCATCCCACAGATCAGCACAAACAGTCGTAAGTTCAACATGGTTGCCAGGCACCAGAATTGTGATCATGTAACCATGCGGGGGGGGGGGGTTGTAATTGTAACTTCAAGGACAGTAATCTTTCCTGACTCACAAATAATCTTTCTTGACTCTCTCGCAACTTTGAATGGTCATTAACTGACCAGTCATAAGTTGAGGACTACCTGTAAGAAGGATTTATTAACATGTATTGAAATAAAATGATTATACCTTTGAGCTGCTTTGCATATTTAAGTAGGAATTGATAAGGGTGCTCGACTTGCAAATCAAATTTTATTGTCTGCAGCAAGATTCTCTCTAAAACCATAACTTCTTCCTAATATCAAGAGAGCAAATTTGAATTGAGTGCACACAATTAGTCAGTACAGTCATTAGATTTCCTCTCCCGTTAAAACTCTACACCTATATGGTGGAATGTCAAAAGTGATAAAACAGGGAAGCAGGAGGAAGAAGAGGTGTGAATCACCATTTTTAATTTATTAAATGTATTTCTGTCCTGCCACATTTCCAATAACACTGTCAGCAACTGTTGTCAATAAGGTAGTTGATTTTTTGGGGCAGTTAAGACTTACTGTTTTTCACTAACATTGCAATATGTCCACATGATAAATTCAGCTGCTGATTTAACAATCACATCTGGGATGGGATAGGGGACATATTACTGTTAAACAGTTTGTGGTGGAATAGTTAAACTGCATAAATGGACAGTCAAATATTAATTACTAGAAAGAAAACAGTTGCCAGGCAATAACAGAATAAGTGTTCTATAATAAAGATATGTTTCAATATGAATAATACAGCTTTGAGGGTTTTTTTCCCCTGTTAGTTGATGTGGATAGCTTTTTGCCTGTTCTCACTTAAAACACCAGCCCCTACAAAATGTGAGAGCCAAGCAATATTTTACTACTATTCTGTGATAGTTAAATGTGTATCTTGCTTTAAGAGGTTAGCAAGGAATCTAATACCTAACAGAAAATTCCAGTGAAAATAGGTGAAACCCATTCACAAAAGGCACTATCTTATCCACAAAGTGAATTAAGGAAGTACTTTCTCTCACACTTGTTAACTAAATACCAAAAGCTTAGCTGAATTTTTGAGCTTACTAAATTATAGACAACCTACGTAAATTTTATTGGACATTAATCACAAAACAATCAGAAATTACTAAACATTACAAACACACAAACCTTGTTTAATAAAAGTATGTAGAAACAAACAAACAAATTATATCCATTTTAACTTTCAGGACCTCCAAATATAAATTACTAGTATAAAAAAATACCTCCTACTAAACTATTGGAAGACTTTGTGGCTAAGATATTTTAACAAGAAATGTGAGAAATGTCGATTTTTTCCAGTTTGCTTACTGTATGCATATGGCTGCACTCTGTGTGGCCAGTTTCACTGCTTCCCTTGTGCAGTGGGTTATTTCTTTGCTGAAAAGACAGGCAAATGCAACAGGAGAACAACACAAGCACTGCAATACATATTGCCTTTGAAAATAACATAAAAATACTAGCTAAATTAATCAAGCCAGTGAAATATATTTCAATTATTAATAAATTGCCAATTTTTTATAGACAAATTCAAGTATTTGGGTGATAGAAGCTTACTTCTAGTTTTATCTACAGGTAATCCTTTACTTATAGCCACAATTGGGATTGGAATTTCAGCCATTAAGCAAATAATCATGTGACTGGACTGTTTATTAAATGTACGTCTATTCTGTGACATTTTATAATTTTTACTGCAATCATTAAGCAAATCACATGGTTGTTAAGCAAATCAGACAGTCATTAAGTGAATCCAGCTTTCCCTATTGACTTGGTCAGAAGGTGGCTGATAAGTTTGCAAATCGCAATTTCGTGACTGCAAGGTGCTGAAACCATTGTAAATGCGAGCCAATTGCCAAACATCCAAATTCGATCATGTGTTTTTCATTTGGGCAGTTTGATGGTCATAACTTCAAAGACAGATCATGTCACCTTTTTCAGCACCATCATAACTTTGAACCATCATTGAATGCATGGTCGTAAGTCAAGGATTACCTGTATTTTATTCTATGAACGCTACCAAAATTTACATAAACAGCTATATGCCACTTAGATTGTACCATGACAAATTTAAGTCAGAGACTCTTTAGCACATCTGAGTTTACCTTTGGATCATCTCCAAACTGCCCAAACTGAACATCATTTAGTAAACTACGAGCTGTTTTGATGATATCTTTACATTTTTTGGGTGTTTCTTCAACTTTTCCTGCTAGGAATAGGCAGCAAGCTCCAGTTACCTATTAAGAAATAGGATTTTAGAAAGCCATTGAAGTATACAAGGCCTATACATTTGGTATTGGTGGCCATAATTTGGTCTAATTATTTCTGCCAGTAAGAGCTAATAAACTAAACAATCAAATAGTTAAGATTCATTTGTAATATTATTTTACAAGTCCAGCTTCTAAAGTTGCATTTGTTTTTGATTTACAAAATCAGTCTTCTCTGGGAAAAACAAGACATATTATTGTTTTGTATATATACTAGAGGCCTGATTCAGATGGTGTGTATGAACATATTCAAAATAAGGATTACACAAAATTCTTAAACTCTAATCTACCCTCTCCACAATGCTCTTTAAATCCTACAGCAAATACAACTAGGAATATGTAAATAAATAATTGCATATTCCTCCCCCTTTATTTCTGCCTCCAAGTCCTTCAGATTCCTGCAACATATTTATTTCTAGGCTGTACTGTTTTGATTCAGATATTTTCATTATTTTTTTGTGAAACATTAGTAGACATCAATTACATACCGTAAACCAAAAGCAATATATTAGCACTTACATATCTTGGGAATTGTTTGAAGGAATGGAACATATAAAACCGATGGAAATATATTATTCCAGTTGCCAGTGTGTCATAATGTCTGAATACAGGTAAGAATGTAACATATTTAGGTTCAACTATAAATTCAACTATATTACAAATGAGTAAACTGAATAACATACCAAAGACAGCCAGTCAGGTGTGCTGATTAAAGAACCCGACTAAAAACTGGGAGACTATGAGATCTAGTTTTGCCTTAGCCATGAAGGCAGCTGAGTGATCTTAGGCAGCTATAGGAAGAAGCCAATAGCAAACCACTTCTGAAATCTTGCCAAGAAAACCACAGAGATTAGTCCAGAGAATTATGACAAAGTCATAAAAATAATGATATGGAATTGTTATGAAGTAACTAAAATTATTTTATTTATTCATTAAATGTATTGGCCACCCATCTTACAAGGAGAATTAATGGATAAAAATAAAAATGAATTACAAGCCCAGGTGTTTGAGAACAGATTCCTGAACTAGTGTACCTGTCATAAGTAAAGACATATAAAATAGACTGTAACTACCTTGCATAAATACAGTTCAATCAATTAGTAACAGTACTATTCAACTATTAAAATTAATCTAAGTTTAGCATTTGAGCAACAATTCAGAAATGCTAAAGAATTTATGTTCCAGATGTTACATTATTTGATTGGCATATGATACTGGATTAAACTAGTTAGAGGATTATGGACTATAAACAATAAGAAATTGTAAATTAACAAATTTTGTAACTGAAAAAAATGTTTTTCCCAACAAAATAACCAACCAAGCTGCAACTATAATTGGGAAGGGAAAAAAGTATTTAAATAATAGTTTCTGATTGTTAAAATTTTAAATGAAATTTAATATTTTTGTGAAAACACTGTTATTATTTGCACACCAAGTAAAAAGTAGATTATGAAATCTTAATCTTACATATTGCACAATAGAGAATTTTAAAAGGATACAATCCCAAACGGGTTCCTACATCAAATATAAACCGGGCACCTTCTCTTCTGTATCTTGCTTCAGTAGCTGGATCAAGTCCTTCTAACTGTGATGGTGTATGTGCCAAGTCCTTCTTATCCCAATACCAACATGGCTTTGTGTGGTCCAGGTTTGCCAAAGATACAGAGGGACTAGAGTTTTCTTTGTTTTCCTTCATTTATCAACAATAATTCCAGTAAGGTAGGTTTTCATATGACTTTAGAACCTATGGAAAAAATAAATCACTGAAAAAACCTAACATGTTTTCAGACATTTATGTATGCCATTTTCTAATTCCTAGGATCCATGAACTTAGGTACGTGAGCTCTTTTTTAATGTTCTAATCTTATTTCTTCCACTTTTATTCATTTACTATTTAAAGTTTATTGTTCCTTTTAAAAAGATTTTTTATCCCCTTTTTATTATTTTATAGATAACACAAGGCAGCAAACATACAATAACTCTATAGCTTATTTTCCCTACAATAATCCTGTGAGGTGAGTTGATCTGAGATAAAGTGACTGGCCCAAAATCACCAAGTTGTCTTCTCATTATTCTTTAACCTCTCAAGGTAGCTAGCAACAAATAATAGTACCGTTATTTTGGAGAGCACCTGTCCTGCTATGGTTACAGAAATCATTCACAGCCGATTTCCTTAGGTTATATTGACAGTGAGCTTCATGATCAAGTTTCCAACACAGTAGGATTTTCTAATTACTACTCAAATTACCAAAACTGTAATGACATTCTCTTTGCAGTTTTGTTATGCAGAAGTCGCCAAAGTGAAAATATGACTCAAAATGCCCCACAAGTTGAGTACAGTGGTTAAAGTATTGGTCCCGAATGATCCAGGATTAAGTCAATCCTTGGTCTTGATACACTGAGTGACAATTCTATCTCTATCTCTGTCTTAGACAAAACTTTCTTACAGCTTGCTATGAGGATTAAAAATCAAGGAAAATCCCTATTTAGGAATCTTGAATTCCTGAAGAAAAGGTTGGATGCAAATCAAATAAATATTTGTAACCGCAGCAAATCAAAGCAATGTTAAATCTCACTATGGGGCTAATTTAAAAACTGGTAGATTTGAATACTAGTAAACTTAAACTAGGTAACTCTGATCTGGTAACTACATAAAATCCAAGAAATGTAATATAAGGTTCGTGCATTACATTCATCAAAATCAAACTAGTCACTTGTATATAATGCTTGAAACAAGCTCCATTCTCATGGTACTTTGACCTGAAACAGCAGATTGCCTCCACTTTCCAAAGAACAGCACACTTCCAAACATTAGTTTCCAGTCTTTTCAAACAAACATTGGAGTCATTTCTTTACCTGATACTAGTCTCAGGTATTACGGTGGCACTGGTTTAACCAATTATGATTTTAAATCTATAAGATACAGAATAATACTGCAAAGATCTATTATTATTTGCTATCAATTCTGGTTCCCCCAGTATCCAGTAAAACAATGAAATAAACAGGAATACTAAGTATATAAAATAGCCCTTTCATTCACTGCTATAATTCGGTTCTATAATTTTGGCCCATATTGAAGCCAAACTCTCAAAAATTGGCTTTTATCAATTACAAGGCAAACATTTATTTTCCAGATTATTCATTTTATATTCTGGATAAATGTGCACAGAGCTCATTGTCAAGTCAGATTTACTTATTTAATACATTACCTTGTTAAGAAAGAGCGTATGTATTTGTTTATTTTGTTTATGGCCTACATAAAAATAATAATTATCGAATTGCTGCCTTTGTATTTGAAAGGTGGGCTATAACTTTCCAGAAGAGCTCTTGGAAAGTAGAAAAATTTCTTTCCGCCCTGTCATTAAAACGAATGTTTTTCCATCCTTCACCGGAGCAGCTGCCATTCGTGCATCAAAGGCTTCCTACATTTCAACCTCAACACACCTCTGTAACTTTGATAATTTAAACCACTCAGCCTGTCTTTCAATCAGTCACACAATATTGATGGAACCACTCACGGACTACGGGTACAGGGGAACCCGAAAATTGCAAGCCGTCGACATCAGCCCCTGCGCGACGCCATCTTGCGAAACCCAATTAAAGTCGTTGCTGACGTTATTGCGTCGGCGCGCGCAAGCTGAAGAGGACTGGATGACGCCGCATCAGAAAGCGCATTGATACCAAGCCGCGAATCAAAGCTCCGCTGTTTCTACTCACCGCCCCTCCCCCGGTAACCCCGCCTGCGCGCGAGACAAGGCCTGCCATTTCTGTAAAACATTTCAGAGTGGTTGGCCAATGGGAAACCCAAAATAGAAAAAGGAGGCAGTCGCTGTAGCCAATGATTTCTAAGAAGAATGACGGGAGAGAGGAGGGAAATGAGTTACTTTCGTTTTCCCGCCAATCAAAATTTATTATCCCGCCTCCCCGCTAGATATTTTCGCTTGCTCCTTTTTTCTCCTTACACGCCCAGTCCTGCAATAGGCGAAAGAGGCCTGGGAGCGGCTTACTGGATTGGTCAGCCGTCCTACGGAGAGAACTGGAAACCAATGGCCGCGACGCAGTTCTTGGGCTGGAAGGCGGAGCAAAAGGCGAATGAGGGCAAACACTGGATGTCCGACAGCGAGGGAGTTTGTGTGTGTCTATGCGTGTGTTCCGCGCGCGTGCGCGGAGGTGCCGTGGTTGGTTTAGCAATCGCCCTGTCGCTCCCCTTCCCCCCTCCACAACCCGGGCAGAGCCGTCAGGTGAGAGGATTTTGAGTCCCTTGTTGTCGTCGGTAAAAGGTAACGGGGAGGCCTGTTCTGTCACAACGTCACTCGTGCAGATTTTATTATGGGCCTTGACTTGGCCCGTTTCTTCCTCGTCCCTGAGTACTAGGGGTGGGGGGCTCTCAGTCCGAAGGATGGTCACCTGCGGGCGGTGTACTGGGCAAGATGATCCAGACTCGTGATCTCTGCCTCTTCTTCCTCTTCCCTCTCCATACGATCACGCCCACAAGGTTCCGTGTTGATTAACCTGGAAGAAGAACCGTCGCTTCTCTTTGGTTGTAATCACTGTTCACATTTATCTCATAGTTGCCCTCCCTGAAGGATTTAGAACCGTTGTTCTTTATGTAGCCTGTGAGATCTTTAGAAAATACTCTTATTATCCATCAAAACGTATACAGAATTGCAACTTTGATTGGTAGCCTGAGTTAATCCGTTGCAGTTAAGTTTGAAAATGAACCTCGTCCCTTAAAGGTGTACAGACCAATCGAGAAATTTTTCCTGACAGCTCTCAGAGCCATTACTTTAAAACATAAAGTTTAAATTGTATAAGCATTAGTTTGTTTCGTTTGTATTCGTTTGTAACTTCCCTTATCCATCCACCTATTCTGCATTTCCAATCCCCCGTCTTTCATAAATAAAATCCCAATTTAACTAGTATCTGTTACTGATCTTTATAATTGTATTTAATATTTATGACTTCCAA